CTTTTGCTACTACGACTACTACTACTACTATTACTACTAGTACTACTACTACTAACACTACTACTAATATTATTACTACTACTACTACTACTACGACTACGACTACGACTTTTACTACTACTACTACTACTACTACTACTTTTGCTACTACTACCATTACTACTACTACTACTACTACTACTACTACGACGACTACCACGACTACCACGACTACGTTTACTGCTACTACTACTACTACTACTACTACTACGACGACTACTACCACGACTACTACTGCTACTACTACTACTACTACTACTACTACTACTACTACTACTACTAGTACTACGACTACTACTACGACTGCTACTACTAGTACTACGACGAGGAGGAGGAGGAGGAGGACGAGGACAAAGAGGAGGAGGAGGAGGACAGGGCGAATCGGAAGACGCGCGGAGTTGCGTTGCCAGCCCTGAGTTCTCGGGGGGGCTCGGCAGGACCAAATACCTCCAGAGGATTTCCCTTCGCGGGCACCGGGCGTCCACGTGCTGAGCCCAGTGCCCGCCTCCTGCCCCGCGGAGCGGAGCGACACGCGATTTGCCTGCACTGCAACGTGCGTGTTTTTGGCCGCTGCTACTTGTTCTTCCTATTTTACGCCGCTGTCGTGTCGTCTTTCGTCGTCGTTTCTCCCTCTCTCGCCACAGGGCTCCTCTTGCGCTGGTAAGAAGAAAGTGTGTCGTTGGGGCCGCCCCCGCGACGCGCTATCCAAAAGTATCTGACCGTACCCCCTGGAGATATCGGGCGTGGCCGGGGGCGGAGGAAGGGGGGAGGGGGCCAGTCATGTCACGATTCGAGCCGGCGCCGCCCGGGAATGCATTGTGCCCACAAAGCATCTCACGCGACGCCAGCGTGGATCGTGACGTGACCAGGTGGGTGGAGGAGGGGGGCGGGGCTGGTCAAGGTCGTTCGTCATTGCCATCGTTTACCCGGGACGGGGCCAGGGGCAACGCCAGGGGAGGGATGGGCTCAGGGATTGGGTCTTCGGAGGATTTCGTCGGTTCTGGGGCGGTGTTCCAGCCTCGGGGTGCTCTCCAGCGGCTGCGCCTCGCCGACGGCGTTCCAGGGGCGCCCGACTCTCGTCCCGAGCGGCCGCCGGAGAGCCGAGCTATGATCTGCAATCGATGGGGGGGCAACGTCAGGGAGGGATGAGCTCAGGTGAGGACGCATCGACCCCCAGCCGCCCATTGATCGCGGACTGGGGCCTGACAGCCCACCCCGCCCAGGACCGTGTGGATTCGCTGTCGGGGGGCATGCCGCCGATCCAGCGGCGATGCATCGCCGATTGCGGGCGGATGTTCCCCCCGCCTGAGCCGGAGCCCCCTGACATTCCCTCTCGGACGGGGAGGAGGAGGAGGGTACACCCAGGAGGAGGAGGAGGAGGAGGAACAGGAGGAGGAGGAGGAGGAACAGGAGGAGGAGGAGGAACAGGAGGAGGAGGAGGAAGGGAACGAGGAGGAGGGAAGAGACAGGAGAAGGAGGAGGAGAAGGAGGAGGAGGATGAGGAAGATGAGGAAGAGGAGAAATACAAGGAGGAGGAGGAGGAGGAACAGGAGGAGGAGGAGGAGGAGGAGGAGGAGGAGGAGGAGGAGTAGGGTACGCCCAAGGCTTTGTGCAAGAAGGTTAATTACGATTTCACCCCCGGCCCCGCTCCGTTTCTCGGGGCGTGCCGGCGGGTCGAGGCCTATCGGAGCAGGCGAGCGCGCTGGCCGGCCGCGGGGCCGCGCTTCTCGATGCCAAGAGCTTCTTTTCCGAGGGGCCGCGCGGTGTGCGCCGCCGCGGCTGCCGCCACCGCTGCCAGGCGCGCGGCAGCAACGGGGCGGCAGCTGGGCAGCCACGCTGTGGCAACAACAAGAAACAACAACATAAACAACGACGACGACGACGACAACAACAACAACAGCACCAGCAACAGCAACAACAACAGCAACAGCAACAACAACAACAGCAGCAGCAACAACAACAGCAACAGCGACAGCGACAGCAGCAGCGACAGCAGCAGCGACAGCAGCAGCAGCAACAACAAAAACAGCAGCAGCCACAACTGCAGCAGCAGCAGCAACGACGCGGTTGCAACGGGGGCAGCAGCGGGGGCGGCAGCGGGGGCGGCAACGCTCCGGCAGACGGGGGGGTCACGAGCCGCAACATTTGGAGAGTGCTCCCCGCTCCCTGAAGAGGCCAAGCGAGGCCCCTTCCGTGCAGGCGCTGTTTTGGGCGTAAGCGGAGTGACGGCCAGCACGGCACATGAAGATGGCAGTGAGCAGCAACGTTTGACAAAGAGGGCGGGACCAGAACGGCGGTGGCACTCCTAGGGACGATTGCCGTTGTTATGCTTTCTGCTTTCTTGCGTCCTGGGCGACTCTGCTGTTATCAGTGCGCAATAGTCCTCCTACGAAAGAGCGCGTTCTGTGGTCGCTTGGTGTTGGGGGGGGGGTGGAACCGGACCCCCCCCCCAGAGGGCGCAGGGGGGTTCGAACCCCTCCCCCCACCCCTCCCGTGACGGAGGGGGGGTTATTCCCTCCCCCTCCTCCCCTACTTCTCCTCTCTCCTTCTCCTCGGGCCGGCGCCTGCGTCGGCGGCGGCTGGCGGCTGGCGGCAGTGACGACGACTTCCTATTCTGGGCCAGCGCCGGCGCCTGCGGCGGCGGGAGGCGGTGGCGTGCAGCGTCGACGAGGCATCGGCGACGACGATCACGACGACGACGACGCTCTGCCACCATGCCTTGGTTTTGGGTCAGAGTTCTAATGGATGCATCTGATGCCTCTTGGGGCATCGTCGGAAGGCTCTCTGGGGCCTCTGAAGGGCATTTGTGAAGCCTCCTGGGCGCCTCTTTGGCGCCTTTTGGGGCCTCTGTGAGGTGGTGGTGGTGGTGGTGAGCTGTGGTGGTGCTGGTGGTGGTCGTGGCGATGGTGGTGGTGGTGGTGGTGGTGTGGTGGTTTGTGGTGGTGGTGGTTGTTGTTGTGGAAAGTGTGGTGGCACGTTGTGGTGGTGGTGGTGGCGGTGGTGGTGGTGGTGGTACGGTGGTTTTCTGGTGGTGTTGGTGGTAGTTGTGGTGGTGGTGGGTTAGGGTGGTTGTGGTGGTGGCGGTGGTGGTGTGGTGATTTGTCTTGGTGGTTGTGGTGGTGGTAATGGTTGTGGTGATGGTGGTGGTGGGTTGCGGTGGTGGTCGTGTAGGTGGTGGTGGTGGTGGTGGTGGTACTGGTTTGTTGTGGTGGTGGTTGTTGTGGTGGTGGGTGGTGTTGGTGGTGGTGGTGGTGTGGTGGTTTGAAGTGGTGGTGGTGGTGTGTTGTGGTGGTGGTGGCGGTCATTTGTTGTGGTGGTGGTTGTGGTGGTGGGTGGCAGTGGTGGTAGTGGTGGTGGTGGTGATTTGGTGATGGTGTGGTGGTGGTTTGTGGTGGTGGTGGTGGTGGGTTGCCACAGTGGTGGTAGTGGTGGTGGTGGTGATTTGGTGATGGTGTGGTGGTGGTTTGTGGTGGTGGTGGTGGTGGGTTGCGGTGGTTGTGGTGTTGGGTGGTGGTGGTGGTTTTTGTGGTGTGGTGGTTTGTCACGGTGGTGGTGGTGGCGATGGTGGTGGTGGTGGCGGTGGTTTGTGAAGGTGGTGTTGGTGATGGTGGTGGTGGCGGTGGTGGTGGTGGTCGTGGTGGTTTGTGGTGGTGGTGGTGGTGGTGCTGGGTTGTGCTGCTGGTAGTAGTGGTGGTTGTGGCGGTGGTGGTGGTCTGGTAGAATGTGGCGGTGGTGGTGGTAGTGGTGGTGGGTTGTTGTGGTGGCGGTGGTGGTGGTGTGTTGTTGTTGTGATGGTGGTGGTTCTGGCTGTGGTGGTGATGGTTTGTGGTGGTTTGGTGGTGGTGGTGGTGGGTTGATGTGATGGGGGTGGTGGTGGTGATGGCGGTGGCGGTGGTGGTGGTGGTGGCGTGGTGGTTTGTGGTGTTGGTGGTGATTGTGGGCTGTGATGTTGATGGTGGTGGTGCTGCTGCTGCTGGTAGCGGTGCTGGTGGTGGGTTGGTGGTGGGTGGTGGGTGGTGGTGTTGGTGGTGGTGGGGGTTGTGGTGGTGGAGGTGGGTGGTTTGTGGTGGTGGTGGCGGGTGTGGTGATGGTGGTGGTTGTGGTGCTTGTGGTGATGATGGTGGTACTGGTGTGGTGGCTTGCGGTGGTGGTGGTGGTTGTGGTGGGTTGTGGTGGGTTGTGGTGGTGCTGGTGGTGGTGCTGGTGGTGGTGGCGTTTTTGGTGGTGGTGGTGGTGGTGGTGGTGGTGTAGTGGTTTGTGGTGATGGTGGTGGTTGCGGTGGTGGTGGGTTGTGATAATTATGGGGGTGGTGGTGGCGGTGGTGGTGGTGTTGTGGTTTGTGGCGGTGGTGGTGGTGGTGTTGCCCTATGCTCTTCCCGCCACCGTGTTTTGGCCTTGGGTCGGAGTTCTCATGGATGCCTCTTGAGGTCTCGTCAGAAGGGTCTCGGGGGCCTCTAAGGATCCTGTGTGAAGCCTCGTAAACCTTCCCAAGGGCCTCTCGGTGGCTTCTGGGGGGCGAGGGCTCGATATGGCGATCTGTGTGTTCCCTCTGCGGCCTCTGGGCCCTCTCTGGTAATCGTCGCTGCGTCCCCGCCATCGGCGCTGCTGGCCGGCGCCAGCGCCGGCGCTGGCGCCGGCGCGACGCGAGGGGGGCGGTTGGACCCCCCCCCCTCCCCTTGGCCTTCTTTGGCTATCGACGCTGCGTCCCCGCCGTCGGCGCTACTGGCGGCCGCCAGCGCTGGCGCCGGCGCCGCCGGAAGGGGGGGGTCTCGGGAAGGGGGGGGTCAGGGGGGAGGGGATCCCCCCTGGTTCTGATCGACGGCGCCGAGTGTTCGGGGGGGGGGCCCACCCCCCAGTTCGGAACGCGCCGCCGACAGTTCCCAAGGCAAGCGCCCGTGCAACGCGCTCTCTTCCTCCTACTGACTCTCGCCCATTCTCACCCACCAGACCACCGCTCTCAGGTGGAAGCCACGCTGCGGCATCGCGAGAAGATTTTCGAGGAGCAGATGGAGGCGCAGGACAGATCGTCAACTCGTGGTACTATCCTCGTTAGTTCGAACTATGTGTGTGTGCGCGTCTTCGTGTTTTCCAGGTGGTGCGTCCTGATTTACCTTCTGCTGCGCTTCGTTATCAGTGGGGTCCTATGCTTTTCTGCCGCCTGGAATTGGCCAGCTCTCGCGTGGATGGTGCGAGCGTATGCGCGTGAGCATGGGCGCGTAGGCATCGCGCGCATCGCTTGGCTTCTTCTTGATAGCCAAGTCTGGGCACATGTAGCGGCACCTCGTCGGGTGGGCCATCCGTCCGATTCCAGCGGCCAGCCCCCCGCTCCTGAGGAGGAAGAGGAGGAAGAGGAGGAGGAGGAGGAGGAGGAGGAGGAGGAGGAGGCGGAGGCGGAGGAGGAGGAGAGGGAGGAGGAGAAGGATGAGGAGGAGCAGGGGCAGGCGCAGGAGCAGGAGCAGCCCCGTGGGACCTGACCCCCGCCCTGCCCGCCCCACCCCCCAGGCCTGTGGACTGGTGCGCTGCTGCCCCTCTCACGCCCGAAAAAACCCCTGGCACGCCAGTGCGGGCCGTGGGCTCGTCCCGTCCTTCTTTAGGGGGAGGAACAATGACATTAACAGAACAACTCGTCGGATCGGCGCTGGAGGCGCCGCCAAGGGGGTTTAGCGCGGATCCGAGGAATCCGCGCTGACCTCCGAGTTGTTATATCTATGTTATTGTTCGTTCCTCTACTCTGTATCTCTGAATAGTTCTGAGGGTACCTGTAGTCCGGGGTGGGTACCTGTAGTTTGGGGGAGGGTTACCTGTAGTCCGGGAGGGGGTACCTGTAGTCCGGGCGGGGTACCTGGAGTCCAGGGGAAAGGTATTTGTAGTCCGGGGGGGGGGTACCTGTGATCCGGGGAGGGGTCCGCGCGGGGGTACCTGTAGTCCGGAGGGGGGGGGGTTCGGCGTGCGGGTGTCTGCGCGCGCGGGATTGCACGCGCATCACTGCACACGACACGCGCACGCGCACGCGCGCTGACACGCACATGCTTGGCGGGCCGCTCTGGCTCCCAGGGGATAGCGAACTCAGGGGGTCCTGTAGCTTCAGGGAGTACCTGTAGCGACCAACGGGGGTACCTGTAGTCCGGGGGGGGGTACCTGTACACATTGCTCATGTCTCATTATTCGAAAGTTCATTGATTTTCTGGGGGGCAACATCCTTTCATTTCTAATTGTTCTATCGTGGGCCTCTTCCTGGCCACTAGGGGGCCAGGAACAATTAGAAATGAGACAATTAGGAATGAGCACGATTAGAAACGAACGACGTGTAATCCGGCTGGGGGGTACCTGTAGTTTTGGGGGGGGTCCTGTAGTCGGGGAGGGGTACCTGTAGTCCAGGGAGGGGGTACCTGAGGTACCTGTAGTCTGGGGGGTACCTGTAGTCCAGGGACCCAGAACTATTGAGGGACACAGAGTATCCATTTCTCTCCCCGGCTCTCTCCCCTTGCCTCGGCCACGCGCAGAGGAAGGTTTGGGGGAGGGGGGAAGGCTTCTCAGAAGCACCCCTGCTCCTCTGGAGGAGCGGGCCTTGTCTATAGATGTAAGGCAGGCGCCTTCTCAGAAGCAGCCTCCTTCCAAGAAGCCTTCCACCTCCCCCTACAGTCAACCCGCATAGCAAGGATGGGCAACCTTCGCAAGGGTACCCTGGCATCCTTGCCCCCTCGGCCCATCCTTAGCGGCTTTCGCTGTCCAACCTCGTTCGAAAAACGTTCGCATGGCCCTCCAAGGCCCTTGCATCCTTACCGCGCACCCTTATGATACGGGTTGGTTGTAAGGCCAGCGCCTTCTAAGAAGCAGTCTCCTTCCAGGAAGCCTTCCTCCCTCCCCCTACCCCCTTGTGCGCGCCGCCGATTGTCGCCGGTGGTCTGTAGGATCGCCAACGCGCCAAGTCGGGTTGCGAGCGGGCCTTTTTCCGGCTCCTAAGAGGCAGCCTCCTGTCAAGAAGCCTTCCCCCCTCCCCCTGCCCCCTTGTGCGCGCCGCCGATTGTCGTCGGTGGTCTGTAGGATCCCCATCGCGCCAAGTCGGCCTTCGGAGGTTGGTACCCAGACATGCGACGTCCTGATTTTTTCAGGACGGCGATCCTGAAAGTCCCGACGCTTTCCCCGGCACCGGTTTTCATGCTGAATCGTTTTCTGACGGTCCCGAGGCCCGGCGATGGCCCCCCGAGGCAGAACACTTGCAACAATTTCCCGTCCTGATTGTTTTACGACGCGATCATGTCTGGGTAGGCTCCCCCAGGCTGCCAAGTCGGTTGGCGCGTGGCCCTTTCCTCTCGGCTCTCGATCGGGGGGTCGCGCGGCGGGCGCACACGCGGGCTGCGCGGGCGTGCGCCCGCCGGGCCTCTGGTCCCTGGTGGCCGCTCTCGCCAGAAAGGGGCGCTGTGCTCCAGGGGCCAGACCCTCCTCCTCCTCCTCCGACTCCGACTCCGATTCCGACTCATACTCCGACTCCTCCCCTTCCTCCTCCTCCTCCTCCTCCTCCTCCTCCTCCTCCTCCTCCTCCTCCTCCTCCTTCTCCTCCTCCTCCTCCTCCTCCTCCTCCCTCCTCCTCCTGCTGGCCACTCCCGGCGCCACCTGCCGCCTTTCGGGTGGCTCTATATGCCCGTGGTCGGGCCTCCGGGGCCCCCCCATATGAGGGCCTCCGTGGGGGCCTCCACGGAGGCCTCCCAGACCTCTGAGGACATCCTTGCAGGAGGGGCCTCCACGGGGCCTCCACGGGGCCTCCACGGAGGACATCCTTGCAGGAGATCGGGGGAGGGGCCTCCACGGGGCCTCCACGGAGGCTGTAGCAACACTTGCAGCCCGACCTACAGGAGCACATCCTTCGAACACCCGAGACCTTCCGCCGGCCATGGCATGCGGAACATGCCCAAGGACCTCCAGCACACACACCAAGAGCATCAGGGCACGCTCCCCGAGCCGACCTCGATCCTGTACCTCGGTCTGGCCGTACCAGGCGTCGTTGTCGTCGTCGTCGTCGTTCCTCTCCGCCCTCCCTCTCCCTGGAGGAGTGCCTCCCTCTGCTCCTCCCCCTCGGTGTTCGGCTCATGACCTGGGGTCGCCCAGCGGCCGCTCTGGAGCGATAACTTCGGGCGCCCCCGGAGCGCCATCGGCGAGGCGCCGCCGCCGCGAAGACGCCCGAAAACCCGGCCCCTGAGCACATCCCCCCCCTAGCCTTGCCCCTGACCTGACCCCCGTCCGGGGCCGACGACGATCACAACGAACGACCTTTCTGTCAGGATTCGCGAGAACGCCCGTGACCAGCCCCCGCCACCCCCCCCCCCTCTCCCCCACCCCCCAGGTCACGTCATGACCCGCGCCGGCGACGTGTGGGAATTGGGCATTCCCAGGCGGCGCCTGCTCAGCTCCTCGTTCAATTTTTGAGCCCCACGGGGCCCTCTGGGCCTCGTGATGGGGTGCTCTGGGGGCCGTGGGGACCCCCTTGGAAATCCTGGGGGCGCCCTGGGTCAGGGGCATTTTTAGCAGGCAACGCCCGACCTTCCGCTCCAGCCCCCGCCGGGTCGGCGAGCCGATCTCCGAGGCCCCCGCCTCCTCCCCCTCCTCCCTTCCTCCTCCTCCTCCTCCTCCTCCTCCTCCTCCTTCTCCTCCTTCTCCTCCTTCTCCTTCTCCTCCTCCATCTTCCCTCCCTCCTCCGCCTCCTCTCTTCGCCTCTCACCTCCTTGTGCCCGCGCGCGCGCGCCAGGACAGGAAGCTGAGCGCGGCCTCCGCGGCCCTGCGGAAGTCGCGGAGCCAGGTGGGCCTCGCCTCCGCGCGCGCGCGAGAGGGTCGGTGGTGCGTCGCAGCTCTCGCTCGCGTGCTCCTCGCCCCCCCCCTCCTGGCCCCTCCCCCCGTCGCTCCTCCGCGGAGGAGGAGGAGGCGGCGGCGGAGGTGGAGGGCCAGGTGGAGGAGAGGGAGGTTGGGTGAGAAGAGGGGCAGGGAGGTGACGGAGGAGGAGGAGAAGAAGGAGGAGGAGGAGGACGAGGAGGAGGAGGAGGAGGAGGAGGAGGAGGAGGAGAAGGAGGAGGAGAGGGAGGAGATTGAGGAGGAGGAGAAGGAGGAGGGAACATAGGAGAAGGAAGAGGAGGGAGGCTGAGGAGGAGGAAGAGGAGGAGGAGGAGGAGGAAACAGAGGAGGAGGAAGACGAGGAGGCGGAGGAAGAGAAGAAGAGGGGGTGGCCAGGAGGAGGAGCGGGAGGAGGGCTCGGAGGCGCCGGCCGCTCCCACGAGAGAGCGGGCTCCGGCCAAGGGCGGCGGGCGCCCGCGCTCGCACATGACTCGCTTCGGCGTCGGGCGCCGCCCTGCGCAGCGCGCGGCGCGCGGCGCTGCTGTGGAGGGGCTGTTGCGTCGGGGACCTGATCGGCGGGGACATCGGCGGCTCCAAGATTCGAAAGAGCATGAGCATCAACTGTCGACGGTTCGCGCGGATGTCTTGGATCTGGATCTGCACTGGGCCCCCCCCGGCTGCCCCTCAGGCGCCGCTCCTGGTGCGCTCCGCGCGACAGGGAGGGGGGGCCATCGCAGATCCACTCAATCCGCGCGGACTGTCGAACGGTTATTTGTATGCCGCTTGTTTCCTTGCAAATGGGGCCCGGACAGGGCCCTACGTCATAGGAGCAAGAAGTCACGATGGTGATGCGTTCCAGGATGTCCGAAGTTCCCCGGATTCCCCAGACTTCCTAGCGAACCATTCACACAGACTGCAGAGACGAGGACTGCTAGACACTCCTGGAACTCTTGGAACGCCTCCTGGGCCAACCCTAACGCCAAGGGCGCGAGCCACCAGCAGTGAAGGCTCACACTGGGATCCGCTGCCCTCCCCTCCTGGGCCCGGGCCCCGTCCCGCAGGGCCCCGTCCCGCAGAGCCCGCCAGTTTCCCGCGTGTCTGGCCCGCCCGGGGCGCAGAGTGCTCTCTGCGTCGGAAGGTCGGAGGGAGGAGGGCAGAGGAGGAGGAGGAGAAGGAGGAGGAGGAGGAGGTGTGAATGGAACCCGTGTAATACCCTCATATATACTCCTTATCCTTACCTCTCCCGCGCCTGGCCGTTTGGGCTCAGGTACTGACTTGGAGCGATCGTACCTTGATCGCGTGGGAGGGAAAGATATCCATCTATCCCTCCATCTCTCTACCAACGGATCAGGGGTTCTGTACCCTTGTACTTCAACCCCATACACAGGTTATCAGCCCTTTAAAGCTCACCCTCACCGACTCGCCCGCGGTGACCTCGCATGCGAGCCTGATGGAGCCACTTCGGCGCATGCGCCGCAAGGGTTCCATCGGCCCTTCGCGTCCGAGCTCTCCCACGGCCCGACGGCTCGGTGACGAGTTGGAGAGCATTAGTGCGGACTGCGTTGGTGTTCCAGATACCCCCCCCCCCAGCTCCCAAGGACCCGAGGCGCGACTAGCTGCTGAACTTCGCCGCGGCGCCGCCCGCGGGGGGACAGGAGAAGGAGTAGGAACAGGAAGGAAGGAGTTTCACACGCCGACCTTCGATCCTCCCTCCCCTTCCCCGTCGGGAGCAATCCCAACCGCGTCAGGCGAAAGCCTTACTGGTCTCGATACTCCAGGGCGCTTTCGCGCTAACCGCCGATGGACCTCAGGTGCTGGGACCCCCAGCCCTGCGACCGTCCCTGTGGCGGAGCACGTAGCTACCTTCGAGGAACTCAGTAGACCAGTGTCGGCACAGCCACAGACGCGGTACCCCAAGGTATCATCGGATGAGACACCACACACACATGGTCCGAGTCGCAGCTCGTCCGCGCGCAACCGCCGTGGAGCCCCAGGCCCATACGGCGAAAGCAGGTCGAGCCCGCGCGCTGCCTCTCAGAGGCCATGCACTCCCCGCGACAGGGGACACAGGGAAGCTGACGCTCCCCACCTCTCCATCTCAGACGACCAGCTGGCGGAGACGTCCGCCGCAGGTGACATAGCTGAGCTCAGAGACCAGGTTGAAACCTTCGTGTCCAGCCAATACTCTGGACTACTACAGAGCGTTCAGACGAACGCCACCGATACTGCAGCCATACGCCGCGATCTTGACGGCGCCTTAGGGATCATCGATTCCAGGATCGCCGAAGATCGACGCATCATAGGAGAACTGCAGTACCAGGTTGATCGTGAGGTGTCACACTCAGGTGAACGAACGGCGATGGTCGAGAACCTGCGCAACTATCTCGCGCAGATGGAGCAACAACTTGTGATCGTACGCGACACAGGCGTTTCTGCGGTCAGGATTTTACATGATGAGATCCACGACCAGCTCCGCAACCGACCAACTCCAACCGAGGCCACAGACCTTGGCGACGTTCAGTCTCAGATCAATGATCTTCGATCTTATCTAGACCACACTACGGCGACGCTTCGTACCGAAGCACACACAAACTCGTCGAACCTGACCGACATGTTGCAGCGTACTGAGAGAGTCATCACTCAAAGGCTTGATGCGACCAACGCTGTCGTGCAGCCACTCGCTAACCGGATCTCTGACATAGAGCAGCGTTTCCCTGGTGTACAGGACGCCCTGGCAGAGTTGCGTGTCGGACGAGCCCAGACTGATCAGCTGGATTCTCCTCCCACGGTTTACGATTTCGCCCGCCTCACTGACAGGTTGCAGGAGGTTGAGAAGGCGGCGGACCACACGCAGTTAGAGCTCTCCCAGGTTATTCATGAAAGAGATACTGAGAAGGTACGTGTAGAGAGTTACCTCGCACGTCTGGAAAACGAGGTGGAGGCGCAAAGCGCCCGTCTCCGAGCATACGAGCATCGACTTGACCGGTATTCACAACGGTCTCGGGGTACTGATGAGTATACACGCCAAAAGGTGGGTCAAATACAAGAAGACATGACGAGCTGGACGAATCAGCTGATCGACCACACTCACGACACCAACATTCACCTTCGACCTGCAGCCGACCCGCACAGGCCGACGGCAGCGTCCGCCGAAGCACCACAAGCTTCAGCAGGACAACAACGACGTACGTCCCCAGGAGCAGCCTCCGCGGCAGCTTCTGCGCAGACACGTCATGTGTCTCCTGTGCGCACAGAACCAACCACCGACGGTGCACCGATACCCTCACAGCCAGTGTCTGCGGTGTCGGTCCATACTACGACGCCTATCAAGGAGTCAGACACCGTCCGTGTACCTGTCTTGCCTAAGATCACGCAGCTGCTGGAGTGGCAGCAAAGAGTGCGGACAAACTTCGGGGCCGCCTCAGGGCGACCATCCAAAGCATACGCCTTCCTATGCGTGGCAGAACAGCCCAAATGTACATTCGAGGATTTACAAGACAGTGGAGACTTTGAGAGCATCGATTGCAAACTCGCAACCGCTCTGAGCGACATCTTATCCTCAGACTTACGCTACCAAATCAGGCTCATCGAGACCAGAGAGCACAAAGCAGGACGCATGCTCAAAGGGCGCCAGATATACTGGCATATCCTACAGTCCTACAAAGTGACAGACGTTGACGACGATCTGCACGATTTCGAGCGCCTTAAAGAACTGAGGATGAGAGATGAAGATGTGCAACGTTTCATTACCGATTGGGACGCCTGACTCTTGGAATGCCGAGAAGTACCCGATCCAAAGATATTGGAACCGCTATTTCGCACACAGATTCGTAGACATGCATGGATGAAACAAGGCATGTACGAGTACCAGCGCATGAAGATGAGCGACCCGAATCGTACCTACGGTTGGCTTCGACAGCGTGTCCTGGACATACTGGAGATTTAAAATTTGGAGAAGAATCAAAACAAGCTACGGTACGAACATGAGACACGATCTCAGGTCAACGTGTGCGCTGCATGGAAGAAAGGCAATTGTCGCAACGGTGAACGGTGCAAGGCTTTACATACATATTCCAGGGATTGGAAGAACAACAAATCTTCCAGAACATCAACGGCTGGTGGCAACCCCCGCCGTAGTATGTCCACTCCTGCGAATCACGAGAAGCCAGCATCAAAGCCATTCTGCTTCGATTTTGCCAAGCGCAACACATGTACCAGAGGTGATAAGTGCAACTCCCCACACGCTGCACAGTGCAAGGATTTCGCACAGAACAAGTGCACAAAAGGCGACAAATGCAAATACGCTCATCTCGCACCTGGTGCAAAGACTCCTGAACGAAGCCCGAGTCGACCACGGACTTCCAGCCAGGACAGCCGTGGCCGATCACCACCCCGCGGATCAGGAAGCCAACGGCCTTCACAACGCGGGGGGTTTCGCTACGCAAGCGATTCACGACAGGGACGTGACAACCGACGCCAATGCGACCGATCCCGTTCGACATCCAGGAGGTCCCACGACTCTCGCAGCCAATCGAGAAGCCGTTACGACAGATCTTCGAGATCTACCTCCCGAGGACGAGACAATCGTGGCGGCGGACGCGGCAGTCCACGCGGCCGTGATAGATCATATGGTAGTGACAAAGGACGTGGCAAGCGGTATCCGAGCCGCGGATCGTCCCGTGGTTCTCCCAACACTAGAGCACGTTCTCCTGCCAACTTTAGACGTTCACGCCGTTCAGACCGCAGTTGCGTCATCCGTGACAAGACCCTCATGGCCAACACGAAGGCCACAGCGACATCTACCAATACACGTCGTCGGATACGCTTCGACGTACGCAACGTGGACTACTACTTCCATACCATATCTGGCAGAGCCAGACTGGACAGATGGAAAGAGCTGCCGAATGAGGGTGACATCGTCAAAGTACCAGATCCGTTATCCCGGTAAAGCAACCTAACAGCCATGTGTAG